CTGTTTCATACTGACAGCATGAGAAGAGGAAGAAAATGGAAGTTTCCAGAATGGGGGATGGGGGGAAGGGGAGGGAAAGTAGCTGAGGAATGTAATAGGATGCAATCAAAGGTCTGTGTGACAGAGGAAATTGTGGGCTTATCTTTCTCCAGTGTAAAGGATCAGCATTCACGGTGGTACAGCTAATTCATCTGAAGTCAGACCTAGGTGTGTTGACTGAAAAAAAAAAAAGGCACAACCTGAAAGTTCAGAGTTATATTTTATTCAGCAGACTTGTTAAGGACTTAAGTCTAGTAGGCAGCCTCTTAGATAACTCTGAGGGACGGCTCCAAAGAGGTAAGGGAGGACCCAGGATATAGAGGAGTTTTTGCAGCAAAGACCAGGTAGTTGGAACATCAAAGGGTTACAGTTAACGAAAGAAAACCAGATATCTCAAGTTAAGGGATTTAGCGCTTTTCTATGTAAGGGAAGATGCAAGAGTCTGGGCTCATTAAAACCATTCCTTTGATATGTACCTAAACCATCTAGGACAAGTATCTTGTTTTCTCCATCCTGAATACCCTCAGGGTGCATCCTCGCGTGTGGAAAGGGGGGATCTTCAGTGGCTGACGGCTTGATGGACCCACATTCTTTGTTTACTGATATGGCAGGTGACATTCTTGGTCCACAGTTGGAATCCTACTCCTTCCACTTACAGGTTCTGAATAGTCACTCAATTTCCCTGAACCTAGGGGTGAACAATGCCCACCGTGCAGAATTCCTGTGTTGATTCGCACATCCCAACACATATGGGAACAACTAACAAATGCCTGATTTGAACCAATGGTTCATTTCCAGGAAAGTAAGGAAGTAAATTAAATGATCAAACAATTCCCTAAGCTGTGGCAAGATGTCCTCTTGTGCTCTTTTTGGTTGAGTAGACAAAGGGTTTAGTTTCCCTCGGGGATGACATCATGGGAGTGAATGTCACAGCCCAGAGAAGAAAGGGGAGAGTTAAAAGTGATTCAGGGGCTTCCCTGGTGGCGCAGTGGTTGAGAGTCCTCCTGCTGATGCAGGGGACGCGGGTTCGTGCCCCGGTCTGGGAAGATCCCACATGCCGCAGAGCGGCTGGGCCCGTGAGCCGTGGCCACTGAGCCTGCGCGTCCGCAGCCTGTGCTCCGCAACGGGAGAGGCCACAACAGTGAGAAGCCCGCGTACCGCAAAAAAAAAAAAAAAAAAAAGTGATTCAGGGTCTTACAACTGTTATTGCAAAAGCACTTTTCTGTATTTATAATTTTCAGGAAGTGGATTATTAGAAAAACCCAGAAGTAACGGATCGACAGTGAATTAGCTACTTGATTGTTGTCAACAGAGGAAAAAACTATAATACAACTTAATCACTGACCGCAATGTGATTTCTTTAAAGAAGGATCTTGTTTTGCTGGTTCCACGTCTGGAAAAGAAGACTGTGGGTGTAGGAGGTGACTGTTGCACACTGTGAATGCTTCTGTGTGGGTGCAGAAAGTGGGGAGGCTGGAAATGAAAATACTGTCATTATTTCTCCTTAAAGGCGAAGCTAAACAGAAGTGGGAGCCATTTGGATGGCTGCTGGTACAGAAAATGCGGTTTAAAAATAAGTTAGGGCTTCCCTGGTGGCGCAGTGGTTGAGAGTCTGCCTGCCAATGCAGGGGACACAGGTTCGTGCCCCGGTCCGGGAAGATCCCACATGCCGCAGAGAGGCTGGGCCCGTGAGCCATGGCCGCTGAGCCTGCGCGTCCAGAGCCTGTGCTCCGCAACGGGAGAGGCCACAACTGTGAGAGGCCCGCGTACAGCAAAAAAAAAAAAAATAAGTTAACATTGCCACTTTAAATTGAAAACAATGCACCCTCCTCGATAGATTGTATTTCGTCTTTGCTTCCAAGTTTATTCTGTATAATGTAAGCAATAGTTCTCAATGTTTTTCCCGGTAGGCAATCTATCGTTGACTTTGCTAATCACTACGTTGCAGGAGTACCTCATCCTGGTAGCCAGCACCCTGGAGGGGTAATTAATCTTTTTGTCTTAAAAATATCCAGTTCAGAAACATGTGTTGAAGGGCTTCCCTGGTGGCGCAGTGGTTGAGAATCCGCCTGCCAATTCAGGGAACACGGGTTCCAGCCCTGGTCCGGGAAGATCCCACATGCTGTGGAGCAGCTAAGCCCGTGCACCACAACTACTGAGCCTGCGCTCTAGAACCTGCGAGCCACAACTACTGAAGCCTGTGCACCTAGAGCCTGTGCTCCGCAACAAGAGAAGCTACTGTAATGAGAAGCCCGTGCACCGCAACGAAGACCCAACACAGCCAAAAATAAAACAAATAAATTTAAATAAATAAATAAAAATGTAAAAACCCAACAAACCTATAAAAAAAGAAAGAAAAAAAACACATGTTGAGCTTGTATGTATTCGAAAGACTGCCATAATGGGGGCTGTGGAGATGCCTGAGACATGACTCATGCCCACTAGGATATCAAACATCTTTCCAGGAGGAGATGGGATTCCTCACAATGGTGGGGAGAAGGGGTGGCTGGAAGTGTTTGAGTTAAAATTTGAAGGATGGGTAAATAAGATGGGGGAAGTCACTCTAGAAGGACCAAATTGAACAAAAACAGGAAGTGAACAATGTCCATGGACGGAACAATTTAAGCCACATTGTTAATAAATGATCATCTCCACCTTAGCAAGGGGTCCTGTATAGTGACAAGGTTCGGGGAAGATACTGCGGGATGGCGGCCATTTGTTACGTTCTCAAATTGCAGTCTGGGGCACATCAGACTGGACAGGAGCGGGAGGCGGCCAAGCGAGAGCAGACGGACCTTTACCTTCTCTGTGTTCTCCCAACTGCTCGGCATTTTGTTTTTAAACAATGCTACTGTATTCAGTTTTAATCTTGTTTTTAAAAAAGCTTAAATCGACCATCCACACAAAATAACAAAACTTTACCTTGTGTGGGTGACTGCCTGTACTGATCAAATAACAACCTGCAGTGAACATGACATGTACGATTACAAGGTGCTGTGTCAATGTCAAACACTTCCAGTATCGTTCCTCTGTCCCCACGTACGGTTGGTCCTGAAGTCTTTTACAGAGAGGAGTCCTGCACTGGCCCAGCTCTGAAACAGACCATGTACAGGAAAGGTCCACTGTGCCCACTCCAGGTGCCAGGTCTCTAGGAGTCCTCTTCTTATTCACAAACTAGGGTAATGTATGTAAGAGTTAAGGGAATGGGACTTCCCTGGTGTGGCAGTGGCTAAGAATCCACCTGCCAGTGCAGGGGACACGGGTTCGATCTCTGGTCCAGGAAGATCCCACATGCTGCGGAGCAACTAAGCCCTTGTGCCACAACTACTGAGACCATGTGCTGCAACTACTGAAGCCCGTGCACCTAGAGCCCGTGCTCCACAACAAGAGAAGCCACGTCAATGAGAAGCCTGTGCACTCCGACAAAGACCCAATGCAGCCAAAAATAAATAAGTAAAAATAAATAAATAAATAGATAAATTTATACATATATATACATATATATATATAAAAAATAGGGGAATGTGCTTAGTCAAAGGCTCTTCTGTCCAAGGACAGGAGGGAGGGGATGAGAAGAAGAACATCCTCGTGGCCTGACTAGAAGACAGAGCTATTGAGTCAGTGGGACGAGATGGGGAGAAGAGGAAATAAATACTATTAGACTTGTTTCTGTAGAACCAAAATCCTCACTGTTCCACATCACGTAGAAACTATGTATTTTCCCAAACCCAAATGTAATGTGTTATTATCACTAAGAACCATTATTTTCTGGTGATTCATTGCCAGCAATATTTATATAATTATGAGCTGGATTAGAAAAATATGGTATCATTTTAGACTTCAGTGAGGATAGTAAGATAGCCCATCAGCCTCTCATATTTGCTCTATAGGACAATATATTCCACTTTAATTTTCTTTTTATTGTTTCATATTCAGATAGGATAGGTCCATAGCTCAATAAATGTCATTTTCTCATTTGCATACAATCACAAAATGAGTACAGGTTTCAGCCTCCAGGCACAAGAATGCCCTGAATTTCATAGCACGAAGCCCCCAGTACTATCACAGCCAGATGTGACAATATCATGTTCTATTACAAGAAATAATTAAGGTCCTCGTCATCCCTTTTCCTTGCAGCAATTTTCTTTAGAATGACCCTTTGCTTTTAAATTTTAGTCTAGGGCTTCCCTGGTGGCGCAGTGGTTGAGAGTCGGCCTGCCGATGCAGGGGACAAGGGTTCGTGCCCCGGTCCGGGAGGATCCCACATGCCGTGGAGCGGCTGGGCCCGTGAGCCATGGCCGCTGAGCCTGCGCGTCTGGAGCCTGTGCTCCGCAATGGGAGATGCCAAAACAGTGAGAGGCCCATGTACCGCAAAAAATAAAAATAAAAATAAATAATAATAAATTTTAGTCTAAGTGGAAATTACTATCAATGCAGCAATATGAGATTTACAACAAATCCTTACCATTGTCTTGGACAATGAGTGAAGAAGGTCTCGAAGACTTATTGGTCCTGCATTCCCTCATGTCGTAGAGCATCTGATACCTGGAGAGAAGGGTCTGGTTCAAGGTCACGATGAATCGTTTTTTAGCAGAACCAGAAGCAGAGGTGGGAGAGTAGTCGTGCTGATGTGAGCTGAGTGAGTGGGACGTAGCAGGAGACACAAATGTGGACAAGTATTTTCAGCATCTTGTCAATGGAGGGGAAGAGGAGTAGAGTGGGGATGGGGGGAGAGGCACGCAGGAGGCGCCATCGTGGTTTTTTTTGGCTGCGCTGGGTCTTCGTTGCTGCGCGCGGGCTTTCTTTAGTTGCAGCCAGTGGGGGCTATTCTTCGTTGCGGTGCGCAGGCTTCTCATTGCGGTGGCTTCTCTTGTTGCGGAGCACGGACTCTAGGCACGTGCGCTTCAGTAGTTGTGGCATGTGGGCTCAGTAGTTGTGGCATGCGGGCTTAATTGCTCCGCAGCATGTGGGATCTTCCCGGACCAGGCTCGAACCCGTGTCCCCTGCATCGGCAGGCGGATTCTTAACCCACCGAGGCGCCATCATCTTTAATGGGTGGGCGGTGTTAGGCTCCTTAATGGCTGAGGGAAGAAGGTGACAGAAGGAGGAAATGTAGACCCAGAAGCAGCAACACTGAGAGAAGGAAGCTGTCTGCCCAGAATATTGGAGGACATGGGGTCGGGGAGCAGGGTGGGGAAGCAGTCTGCAGCCAAGGTCAGACGCCAGCACCTCTTGCCTAGAAACAAAGAGACAAATCTCTTGCTGAGCAAACTAGAACAGAAATAAAACCCGAGAGCACACAAGGTCAGTCCTGAAAATAAATAATTAGCAGCCAGGTTCGAGTCTGTGGCCCAAGAGTCCGTTGCAGGGTTTTAGGAGGACAGAGGACACTGGGAGCTGCTAGGTGATGCCGAGAGCAGAAAGGGTGAGATGCTGAAAGCCACAGTCCCCAGAAGGACATAAATATAGAGAAACCAAAGCTATCAAGGAGTTCGGGGCTGGGAAGATGGAAATAGCAACACGGAGACAGCTACTAGAAGGATCCAATGAATTCTGCTGAACTGTTTTCCTTATATGGGACTGGAGTTTGTTTGGGGAGGACCACGTTTACTGAGGATTGATATTCCAGAACAACCTGTTTTTACCAATGAGAACACTTAAGCACACGGGGGGGGCGTTAAGCTCCTCCCCCCAGCTTATGGTGATAGGTGGTGGGGGGAGGATGACACTCACCCCAGAGCCTCCAGTGTCACATGACCTTGCCTCCCAGTCCTACCAAGTTGACTGAACCAGGTTTATTCCATTAGACAGAATTTGCAACAGGAAGGAACAGGGGTGACTAGAACAACATGTATACAATCTCAGCTTCCAGAGGCTCGAGAAGCCCCAGCATGAACAGTCATGGTCACAGGTGATGTTCCTATGGGGTGCTTCCTCCCTGCTCCCAAGTGGACAGACCTTGTTTTAAAATACAGGTTTATTATTATTTGGGTGTGACAAGCCGATGGATTAGGAGACAGCTGACATTGAAAAGGTAGGTTTACTCACAGTTCCCAAGAGGAGGGGCACACTATGCCATGGGCAGGGGTGGGGGGCACTTGGGAGAGCACCAGGGTCAGTCACAGGCAGAGGGAGAGAGGGAACTGAGACAGGAGCTTTTATCGTGGTCTCTTTAAGCAGGAATAGGCAAGACAGGGCCAGCAGGCTCAGGTCTGGCTAGTTTGAATCATTCCAGGGCTCTGAGGCATGGGGACTGCCCCTGGTTGTCTGGTACCTGGGCCTGGGGGGATTAGGGCGGGGGGAGAGTGAGCCAGGGTGAGAGCCCAGCACAGGAGGTGGCTGGGGTGTGTGCTCTGGATGGCTTGGTTTGTATTTGAAAGGTGTGCTCAAGGGCTAGTTATTTGCCATCTCTAGGAATTAGCTAACCCTGTGAGGGGGAGTCCCTCCGGGGTCAGCCTGGCCCCAGATGTCAAACCATCAGAAGTACAGGAAATAAAAGGCATGATTCATCCCCATCTGCATTGGCATAATACTCCTGGCCTCACCCAGGGAAAGTAAATGACTTGTCTGTTGGGAATTTGGAAGAAAACTGGGCCTTATTTTCATCCTTTCCCTCTCAGGTGGGTGGCTGACTTCAGAGAGCACATCTTTTTTTCCCTGAGTCCTGCGAGCAGCTCAGCCACAGCTTTGCCCAGTGGTGGAGGGCGGCGTGAAGTGCCTCTAACTGGAAGGGGAAACAATGTCCACTTCTGGAGCTGAGTATCAGGAAGTCCGCTTGCCTGAAGAACCGAGCCGCATTCACCAAAGCCACTACCTCAGTAAAAACCCACCTGATATTTGGTTGTATTTCTCCAGTGTTCGGCACTCTGGTGTTTTACTATCGTTCCAGGAACTTGTAAGGGTAACAACTGCAATTATATGGAAATAGATTTTGATCCTGAATACCAGTCAGTAAAATGGCTGGGACCCCAAATACCCTTTCTACCTGGCAAAGAAAACTGAGTGGCTCAAAGAATCTGGGCTGTCATTTAACTTCTTCTGCTAAGGTTTTGTTGCCTTTTCTTTATGAATATGTGGCATATTCCCTTGGGCAACACACAGCATCCAAAAAGACCCTTTTTGTCACTAGTCACTTAATGACAGAATTCAACTCTCTTGTCCATTAGGGTGAGTTTCTGACCTAAGACAGTCTAAGAATGATCAGCAATCCCCTGGGTCCTTACTCTTGCTTCAAGAATCTTAATCCCATGACCAGCCATAAATCCTGAAGCCTTCTTCATTATTCCTCTCTGGCAGTTTACTGCATCTTCTGAAATTGATCTCAATTTGGCATTCCCTGATGTGCCAGAGTCACCACGAGACGGCAGATTTCTCAATTCAGATGAAAAAGATGGGGGGAGAAATGGGACACTGTGGTTCGCTAGTTCACGTACTGCATTTTGTTTACCATAACGCAAGAAATTAAGCCAATGTTTGAGACAGATTTACGCACCATAAAGTATACATTTAAGTGTACATTTTGATTAATTTTGACCTATGTAACCACAGTGTAAACCAAGGTGTAGAATATTTCCATCACTCTTTACAATAGCTCCTCCCTCACCCTTCACACAGAGGCAACTTCTATTCTGATTTGCGTCACCATAGTTTCATTTCGCTTGTTCGAGAACTTCATATAAATAAAATGAAATAGTGTGTACCCTTTTTTTAAAATTAAATTTCTTTTCCTTTCTGTTTTCTTTTGGTTTTGGCTGCGTTGGGTCCTCGTTACTGCATGCGGGCTTTCTCTAGTTGCGGTGAGCGGGGGCTACTCTTCATTGCGGTGTGTGGGCTTCTCGGTGCGGTGGCTTCTCTTGTGGAGCATGGGCTCTAGCCACATGGGCTTCGGTAGTTGTGGCACACTGGCTAAGTAGTTGTGGCTCGCGGGCTTTAGAGCACAGGCTCAGTAGTTGTGGCACACGGGCTTAGTTGCTCCGCGGCAATGTGGGATATTCCCAGACCAGGGCTCGAACCCATGTCCCCTGAACTGGCAGGCAGATTCTTAACCACTGCACCAATTTTTAAAAAAATTAATTTATTTTATTTTATTTTTGGCTGGAAATAGTGTGTACCCTTTTGTGTAAGACTACTTTCATTAAATTTTTTTACATTGCTTCATGTTATTGCACCTATCAGTGATTTATTCCTTTTATTTATTTATTTTTTACTATTTATTTATTTGGTTGCGCCGGTCTTAGTTGCAGCAGGTGGACTCCTTTAGTTGCAGCAGGAGGGCTGCTTAGTTGTGGCATGTGAACTCTTAGTTGTGGCATGTGGGATCTAGTTCCCTGGCCAGGGATCAAACCTGGGCCCCCTACATTGGGAGCAGGGAGTCTTATCCACTGTGCCACCAGGGAAGTCCCTATTCCTTTTTATTGCTGAGTAGTATTTCATTGTGTGGATGTATCATAATTATTTATCCATTCTGGTGAAGTACAAATGTGCATTCTCTCCTTTTGGCTACAGAGATGCTATGAACATTCATATACAAGTTTTTTGTGGACATACAGATTCATTTCTCTTGGGAAGGAGTTAAAATGATGTTAGAGTGTAGGTGTATGTTAACTTTATAAGAAACTGCCAAGGAATTTATTTTTTTTTTGCGGTACGCGGGCCTCCCACCGCTGCAGCCTCTCCCGTTGCGGAGCACAGGCTCCGGACGCGCAGGCTCAGCGGCCATGGCTCACGGGCCCAGCCGCTCCACGGCACGTGGGATCCTCCCGGACCGGGGCACAACCCGTGTCCCCTGTATCGGCAGGCGGACTCTCAACCGCTGCGCCACCAGGGAAGCCCTATCTTCTTGTTTTTATGGAGGAGTCTTGTTCTATCTCACCACATCACAGACACAGAGTGACCTCACCTGATGTTACTGCTCTGAAATTTTTTATAGTTAGCAGGTGACAACCTTGGTCTGGCTCAGAGTGCCAGACCAGCTACCAGCTACCAGAGCTGCTTTTTTTTCTTTCTTAAAATATAAGTTTTTAGTACAGAATATGGCATAACATAGCTCATGCTATATATCTCTCCATGTAGTCTGGGATGTATATGCCTGTCTCCCCAGACATGCTACCATGACTGGTAGACAGAGACACACTTCACCCGCTCTCCATCTGCCACTGCGGTCACCCCCATGGGTACCACTTCCCAGGAGCCATCATCCCTCCCACAGGATGGAGCCTTTACTGTGGTCGAGCCACCAAATTCTCACGGTCGTTTCTACGACTCATCCTTATTAAGTATCAAATCACACAGGGTATTAAGGTAGGCATTGTCTGATGATGATTAGACACACCTCATCTTGGTACATCATGGCAAAAGCGAGGAAAATATTATCTACCATGATAGGATTTTACCTATCTCTATATTTCCCACACTATTTCCACATTACCTGACACATCACTGTCTACAGGAGAGAATAAGATAGAACAGAATATGTAAATAAAGATGTTAACCTGCCACAGTCTGCAATAGTACAGGATTTCCAAACACATCTCTCACATTTCATCTTTGTGAAGGGATCAGGAGGTGCTGTGAGCATTACCTTTATAGCCATTTTCCTTTGACGCCGTTACTCTTCTCCCTTAGAAGAAATTCCTTCCTCAGAGGCTCCTATCATGCAGCTAATTCAATTTAAGAATCAGGTTGAGTGCTAAAGGAATATTTCAGTCATAGCTCTACATAGGACTCTGGTTGGCATCCACTGTTACTAGGGACCAAACACATCTAGTAAGACTCTTGGCTTGGGTTACTTTCAATGCTTGTTGCATAGTACTTATGATGTCTATTTGTGAAAATGGGTACGTTAATGCTCAGAGGGGAAGAAACCCGAATATAAAATTGTACTTATCTATAATGATAACATGTGAAAACAAGGTAACCACATAGATAAAAACCATTAAAGAACATGGAGAAATGGAAAATGTTCACTACTATAAGTTGTATCTGTCTATCTATGCAAAAAATAAGGAGAAAACGGAGTGATTATAAATCTGTGGGAATGACCACTCTCAAATGCAGCGCCCTATGTTCCCACAACCCCTTACGCACACGACTGTAGAAATACTGTATTCTATTTAAACTGATTTGCACAAGTTGGACTTAGTTCCATTTTTAGAGGAAAAAATATTGCATTACAATTTTGTATTATAATGTATTATTTACATGCCAATCTATGAACTCCTTGAGAGCAGGTCCCATCTCATTTGTATTGAAACCTGTAGGGGGCGCACATAAGCTGAATGGGTGCTTAAGAGGCATTGGCTACTGAATGGTTTCACTAGCTGCTCACATCTCTCCACCTGCTGGCCTTAGCCTTGAAGTTCAGGAGCTGCTTTGAAGAGTTCCCTAGCTCAACTTACGAGATACACTTGAAAACCTAGTCATACAGTGACAGCTTGGTGACAATAGGTTTAAGAAAGGAGCGGTGTCAATGACGCTGGTAGCTGTCCTTTCCTATAATCTTTAAACATTTTTGCCCATGTGTCTCCTAAAATTTTTTGTAAAAACAAGTATTTTTAAGTTGACATCAGAAAACTTTTATTTTAAATTTAAATAGTTGCAAAGTATATTAGAGTTTTAAATATAATTTTAAAATATTTATAGAAATTATAATAAATTATTATTATATTAGATAGTGTTATACTGGATATATATAAATTTAAAATAGTAAAAAATAATTCATTTAATTATTTCTGAAGGAGTATAAATACCATATATCCCCTGAATTCTAATAAATACCAGAGCAATTTGATATCCTCCAACATACATAAGTATGTATATATGTATTTTTTTACAAAAAATTGGTGACCCCAAGATCTGATAAAAATAATTTCTTCTGAATTCAATTATGTTTGTAAATATTAATAGGATATCAATCAAAATAAACAGTTATATGTTTTGATAACTACTAAGTGGAAAATACAAATTTTTATTAGAAATGCCTTTTTAATAAGTTGGGTAAAGGTTTTTTTAGATTAGTTTATGTTTCCAAAAAAAAAGATTAGTTTATATTTCCATGCGTGAATATTATAAATTGTAAGGCAGTGTTCATCATCAGTTTTATTCCTATTTTCATGTTTTATAGACAAAAATTAAGAAACACATATGCAAGTAGATGGGGATAGAAGGAGTTTCATTTTAACAACATTACTTTTTAAAATGTTCTTCTTCTGACTTGAATACCTAACGTAACAGTGATCAATCTTTTTCTTTCTTTTTTGATGATCAGCTGACAAAGTGATTCGTTGCACCTTTAATATTCTTGAAAACAAAGTATTGGAGACCATCTGACTTGCAAAAGCATTTATTTCTAGTCTTTGGTGTCATTTCCTTTCTTAGTCTCTGGGACTATACCAAAAAGGATTAACCTTAAGTTATTCAATACCTACTAATTACACCTGGCATTCTTTCCCTTGGAGACATTTATTTAACCCAGTCTAGTGGAGAGGTTAAGAAACTTGAAATTTTGTTCATTTCAAAACATCATTTTCATTTTTTTGAAAAAGAAATACTCATTATGTGTTTTTAAAAAATTTTCTTCAGAACACTGTTTAAGATTTACCTTATGGAAAGTATGGAAAATTTTCGCTGTGTCACCTAAATGCCAAATCCAATCCCTGTTATCAAACAAATCAGCAAAACCAGAATAACTTGTGCCAGAAAAATTGTCCTTGATTTTCCAATTCAATTAAACTTTACTTATATGCATTTCTACGTCCCCCCTCTTACTTCTGAATCCAACTCTAAGAGAGAGACAGACAGACAGATAAGAGATAAAGACACATACCTCTGTTGCTGGGAGAGTACAATACCTCTCCCTGCCTTCGTTATTCCTTAGGACGTCCTCTTTGCTTTGCTCTCAAAGATTCTTCTTCAAAAGCAATAAATTCTTCCACAAAGACCAGAGGATGGAAGAGATAAGGGCATGCAGATAAAAATAGTCAAATATGTATATGTATAGCTGATTCACTTTGTTATAAAGCAGAAACTAACACCACTGTAAAGCAATTATACTCCAATAAAGATGTTAAAAATAAATAAATAAATAAAAATAAAGGGGAAAAAAAAAACCCCAAAATCTCTATGGTTCCACTCAACAACGTAGCTGTATTCAAAATATTTATGACATTGGCCCAAATCAATCACTTCTAGTACCATGCTTTGCTCTTAAGGTAAATATGCATATATACGAAAAGACTAGAATCCCCACCAGGATGGTTCTGCTTTAATAAAAGAGGCTGTGTCAATTATACCCCAATAAAGATGTTAAAATAAATAAATAAATTAATAAATTAATTAATTAAATAAAAATAAAAGAGGCTGTGTGATACCGTTATTTTGACTTGTCCCTTTGATTATATCCCAGAGGGTTTTTATTTTTATTTATTGTTTTAAATTTTATGTGGGATTCTAGTTCCCCGACCAGGGATCAAACCCGCATCCCCCTGAACTGGAAGTGCAGAGTCTTAACCACTGGACCACCAGAGAAGTCCCTACCCTAGAGGTTTTTAGATCCCCTGGGCAATGCACCATAGTAAATTTCAGGGTTGGTTATGGGCGTGTGGTTCTCTATTGCAAAGTGGGCAGAGGGCAGTTTTAAAAGCAGGGGTGGTTAAAGAAGACTGGTACTATGCTTTCTAAAGCAGATCACTTTCAGATGGACTGTATAAATGGAAGTCACACTGGAAAATGATTTCCAAGACTCCCCTGGAAAGTCTCCATGAGTCCCTGCAATCGCACCTTGCCGTGGTTGGAAAGTACTGCCCCTCTTAATATCTATTCTTCTCTTCGTTATTACTAACAGAATCCCAATTTCCCTTGGGGTGGCATTGTACACAGCTAAAATATTCACCTGGCCAAAGCGCTTTGCATTATGACCCATTTTTGCTGATGAAATCTAAGCTGGGGCGGCCAGGGGTTGGCCTTGTCTCTGGAGCAATTGTTTTTCCGATAAAATGGGACCAACTCAGCTGGCATAACCCCTGGTCTTTCACTTTCCCCCTCCTTTATCTTTTTGGAAAGCAGACACACCCTTTGGAGGTGTAGCAGCCATCTTATAACCAGCAGAACAAAGCCACGTGTTCATAAAGGGGAACGGATTAATGGACAGAGCCTGGATCTGGGTTGAAAACCTTGGGAGCTGCTCCAGACCCATGCTGCCCACATCTAGATTTCACTGCATGAGAAAAATAAGCCCTACTTGTCTAAGCCTTTGTTGTCAGGTTTTTTATTTCTTGGCCTCAAATCCTAACTGGAACAAAGGACCCTTCTCTTACTCACCTTGGGCGATACATGATTTCATTTTCTGGCCTCAAAGGTTTTTGCTTTAGGGAATTGCTGTAGGGAATGCTAGTACAATCATATCTACACATTATTATAGGTATTCATTTTTCTGATCAAAATAAGATACATTTATAAAATAAATGTTTTGAACACCAATCAAAACATCACAAGGTTTTTGTAGGCATCACATCTTTGTAACTTTTGTTCCTCGAAAGAGTAGGAGGTCAGTAAATATTTCTCCAACTGTCAACAGTGTCAAGGGTGAAAAGGCCAACTCTAACATTGTTTTTTTGCTTAATTATAGGGAATTTTAATGCATGTTTAAGGGTGACTTGTGAAAAGCTAAATTCAATTCTAACTATTCATGAAGTAGTTATAAATCATGATATCTGAGACGCTGCGAAATAAAATACAATGAAATATAATATATGAATAACTAGGGAAACATCGCCTGAAATGAGAATGGTAGTTTGTAATTGAGGATTTAACACATTTATGAAAATTTATCAGTGAGCTTCATCTAGTGCTATCCCAAATAATACAATGCCTGAAAATCTGAAATGAATCACAATAATTATTCATTGAGGAAATGGCTAAATGCATTGGTAGAAATCTCAAAATGATGCAAAAGGAACACTCTCAGCTATATAATCATCATCACCATAATATTCCCGAGCATTTCAGACATATTTTGTCATATAATCTCTCAACAATTCTAAACATGGAATAATATTATTTTCCCTGTTTTACAGACAAGGAAACTAAGACACAGATGAATTAAGTAACTTGCCTAAATGTACACAGGTAGTAAGTGACAAAGTGAGATTACAACCAAACCAAAGTAATCAGTTCCACTGATGATACGGCCGAGTCACCCCCAACTCCCAGAGATGACAACTGTCAACACTGGGTATAACATAAAAACAGCCACCTGAATGCTGTGGGCAGTAAACAGAACAGGCAGCTTTCGGAGTAAAGCCAACACTTGGAAGAAAGAAATGGCATGGAGTTCGTTTCCCATTTTTTATGGCTTTTAGCCTGATGGCAGGCTACAGGTGCTACGCAGGGCAACTAAAACCCAGAAAAAAACCCCAGTCATCTGTCTACTCAGTATTCTGTGATAACCTATATGAGAAAAGAATCTGAAAAAGAGTGAATACATATATGTATAACTGAATCGCTTTACCGTACACTTGAGACTCATACAACATTGTAAATCAACGATACTCCAATAAAGTATTAAAAAAAATAAGACCATAAATTTTCCTTGAAACATTTTTGCTGCATTCTACAAGCTTTTATATGTAGTATTTCCATTATCATTCAGTTTCAAGTACTTTTAAACAATGCTATACTTTCTTCTTGATTCATGAGACATTTAGAAGGTTTTTTTTTTAATATATAGAAAATGTTTTAAATCATCCTTTTGTTATAAACTTCTAATTGTGAATTGTTTTGTAAACAGAGAGTCTATTATAATGCTTACACTTCAAAATATGTAGGGAAATTTTATGATTAAATTTTATGAATGTTCCATTTACACTTGGGAAAAAAACATGTTTCCTAATTGTTGGATGCCAAATATTATATAGGTCCATTATAACAAACAAACAAACAAACAGGGCTTCCCTGGTGGCGCAGTGGTTGAGAGTCTGCCTGCCGATGCAGGGGACACGGGTTCGTGCCCCGGTCCGGGAAGATCCCACATGCCGTGGAGCGGCTGGGCCCGTGAGCCATGGCCGCTGAGCCTGCGCGTCCGGAGCCTCTGCTCCGCAACGGGAGAGGCCACAACAGTGAGAGGCCCATGTACTGCAAAAAAAAAAAAAAAAAGAGGGAGAGTTGGCACAGCTCTGCCCAGTATTACAGCCTTGTTCATAGTAGAGGATGGGAGACTGAAAAGTATAGTCTGCCACTAGGCTGTTCTCCATGGATTCATCTCTGAGTTCTAGAGAGAGGTGTATGGCAAATAAAACTTAACACTTCCTCACTCCAAACTCTGTAAGACATTTGTCTTATCAACTGAGCATTTATTGCATTTTTTTTCTGCCCAGCGTTCCTTATTCCCCTATTCAGATAGTAATACTTTCTCTTCTTTGTGGAATTGCCTATCTTTTGTGAGAACTGAATGGTGCTCCGAGTCTCAGTATCTTGTCCTTCAAATGCAGTGATTGACCCAAGGAAGGGTGCCTGACCCGAACTGAACGATATCGTGTCCTTGATGAGTTGTTACATAGGGCTGTTGAAAGAGAGAAGCAGTGTCTTTCCTGCTAAGCTGGAATGATGTAAGCCTGAGTCAGTTGGAGACCATTTCTCATCAAACCCATCACACTTGCCCAGGAAGGAAATCTCTCCACAGTAGGAGGGAATGAGGCCGACAGAGAGAGAAATGGAGGGCTTTGAAATGGTAAGAGATGGAGACTAAGGAAGAAGGGAGAGAGTAAGAGGGAGAGGGAGAGAAGCGGGGGGGGGGGTGGGGGGGAGTGGAGAGAGATTGATTCTAATATCGTAAAGCCTTTGAACACTCTAAAACCATATTGTAGATTTTCTGGTTATATACGATCTCATACATTCCCATTTTCTAAAATTCAGAGAGCTGTTTAACAGAGATCAACATAAAAGTAGAGGAAAGGGATGTTCCTGTAACACCAGAAGTATGTGGCCCTATGGGGCCTCTCCAGGATGTGGCCAAGCTCTAGTACAAGTGCTGCAACACATCAACAGCAAACTCAGAGGGATGCACCCAGAAGAACTCTACGGGGAGAGACCCGTGCTTGAGAATTGGCAACTGTGGAAACAGTGTTAGCAGCATCAAGAAGCAACGTAAGTGGTTAGAAAGGGTGCAGGAAACTTCAGAGGAAGTGAGCGGTATCGTGTCTTCGGCACCCATGGCAGGACTCCTGACTTCCACCAGTCACACTCATCCTCACAAGTTGATAATCACTGATGTACCCAGCTATAGACACGTCACTAAGAGGGGGATGGGCAGGTTTCAAAAGAGAAGAGGAGAAAATGATCAGACCCCACGTGAAAGCTTAAGTGAGAAAACTTCTGAGGCCTCGGAGAAACAGATGGGAGCAGGTCATTTAAGGGCAACAGCATTTGTGGCGGTCATAGCTGTAAATGTGACCCTGCTTTTACTCTCGGACTGAAAAGTTCTGGGAAAAATGAGTTACACAAAGCTTCACTTTCCCAACTGGCAAAAAATATATATATATAATAATAATGATGATGTCCATGCTAAATGTGAGAGCAATGTGCTCATCTTGAATCATGTGGAGATATGAGACTCACGGAGCTACCAGAATTAACATGAGAACGATAAAGCTAGGAACAGGTGCTAAGCTTGTGTCCTTGGGAGGCTTGTCAAACACTGAGCTGGGCCCAAGGTCAGGAGAAGAGTCAACATCTAGAGGGAGCAGAACAGTCAGACCATGAGGAATGACCCGAGGACAGAGCTGGCCGGGGCTGGCAGAAGAAGTGAAGTCCTCACTTCTCCAGACAAATTTACTGTAGCAGGTCCACATTAGAGTCCCTCACAGGGTGCAACGGCAAGGGCCTCAACCCAGAATCTGAGTTGAAACAGGTTTACTTCCAAGCCAACTTGTA